TTGAGAAAATTTATCGTATAAACTGTTAATTAGACCTAATTCTCGCAGATTCCCATTACAGATACTTTTTGGTTCTAAGAATTTTGAAGCCCAAACTTTCGATGTTTCCTCAGTCTCCCTTTCTTTAACTTCGACTGCACTCGCATGCTGACTATTCAAAGAATATCATCATTACTCTTCTCATTCCATTTCTTATCTTCAAAATTCTTAGAACCAAAAAGTATCTGTAATGGGAATCTGCGAGAATTAGGTCTAATTAACAGTTTATACGATAAATTTTCTCAAAGCTTTACAAATGCATATTTTAAGAACCCTCATACCCTGTCAACATCCTAGGAAATCATTTTACTACCATGCCGTTACTGCTTCGCTCTAAAAAGGCGAAATTTAAAAGACAAAAACCTTTTTTATGTTACAAGCTATTACTATCCAAGAGCACCAAAACGGCTTTACTCTCAGTACGAAATACCTTTTATATGCAATATCAAACCTGGTTTCGTAGGATGTCGATAGGGTATGAGGGTTCTTAAAATATGCATTTGTAAAGCTTTGAGAAAATTTATCGTATAAACTGTGAATTAGACCTAATTCTCGCAGATTCCCATTACAGATACTTTTTGGTTCTAAGAATTTTGAAGCCCAAACTTTCGATGTTTTCTCAGTCTCCCTTTCTTTAACTTCGACTGCACTCGCATGCTGACTATTCAAAGAATATCATCATTACTGTGACTTCGGAACATTTCGTGCGGTCCAAAATTTATCGTACTCATATTATTATTACTGCGTACCTGTTACCTTTAAAAGTCATGATGACGATATATGTTTCCATTAGAGCACACCTTTGTTCCATTTCTTATCTAGTTTTGCATATTATATATATATATATTCCATCAAGGTGAAGATGTTTCGAGTACATGTGACAAAAGTGCAAAGACGATGAACAATCACTTGGACGCATTGATCAAGCAAGTTGAGGCAAAATTACGAGAACCTCTTGCTTCCAATATCGATAAATGGAAAAATCACCTATCGGACCTCATCAATCAGATTGCCGAAGTAAAGTTGGATTCTGCAGCTGTCGTTAATGGATTCCATGTCGTTGATGAATCTCTCGATCCGACCGATTGGACATCAGCTCGATGTGTGGCACATACGATGCTCGATGCGTCGCTTGACTTTGTTCAAACAGTTCGTGAACGACCCGTTTGGCAACCGATTCCCGATCGTGTCCGTTCGACACTCGAACGCGAATCACTACCTCAACATGGCCAATCGATGAGTGACGTATGCGATCAAATACTCGTCAATATTCTGCCGTATTCCACCGGTAATGTTCATCCACGCTTCTGGGCATGGGTGCACGGTGCAGGTACAATCGGTGGTGTTATTGGAGAGATGATGGCAGCAACGATGAATTCGAATGCAGGCTTTCTCAGTCACAGTGCTGTGCTCGTCGAACGAACAGTTCTCGGCTGGATGGGTCAAATGTTCGGTTTTCCGGCGGACACTGTAGGTGGTATTATCGTGAGCGGTACATCGATGGCGACCCTCATCTGCATGGCAGTAGCTCACAATCGGGCATTGGCCAATGTGAGAGAAACTGGACTAGTGGGCGGACCAAGACTTGTTGCATATGCATCGAGTGAGACTCACATGTGCGTTGTTAAGGCACTTGAATTGATCGGCGTCGGGTCGGCAGCATTACGGCTCGTGCCTGTAGATGAACAATTTCGAATGAACATTGATGAACTCAAAAAGACTATTCGAGAAGATCGAAACAACGGCCTGACGCCATTTTGTATTGTCGGCAATGCAGGTAGACTAGACGCACGTGTGATCATTTTGATGTTATTCGCTCTTTCTATGCTTTTCAGGGACGGTAAGCACGGGGGCTTTCGATGATCTTGGTCAGTTGGCATCGATTGCACGGTGTGAAGGTGTTTGGTTTCATGTTGACGGAGCCTTTGGCAGTTTGATTGTGCTCGATCCTAAACGTCGTTCACTCGCCACCGGACTCGAGCAGGCCGATTCGGTTGCGTTCGACTTTCACAAATGGCTCCATTGTTCGTATGATGCCGGCTGTGCACTAGTACGCGACCGTACTGAACTTCATGCGACATTTTCAACTCGTCGCCACTATCTAGCTGCTACTCAGCGTGGATGTGCCGGTGAAAATCCTTGGTTTTGTGAATTGGGACCCGAACTATCGCGTTCGTTTCGCGCACTCAAAGTGTGGTTCACACTCAAAGAACATGGTCTACTCAAATTAGGTCAAAAAATAGCCGATAATTGTGAGCAAGCGCAGTATTTGGGAACACTCTTAGCTCAATACTCGTCTTTCATTCGTGTAGTGACACCTATCTCACTGAATGTTGTCAATTTTCGATTGGAACCCGATGATCTTTTGCATCAGATGGATTCACCTGAAATAATCGATGTGTTCAACAATGAAATTGCTGCTGACATGCAAGAATCAGGCATTGCATTGCCATCGACAGCATGCATTCGAGAAAGACTCTACATACGAGTAGCAATCACCAATCATCGTAGTACACTGACTGATTTTGACATTTTTGTAAAAGCCATTTTGGATCGATGTCGAGATCGACTTGCGAAAATTAAAGAATAGAGTCTGAATAGTAGTAAAAATTTTCACCTTCATTTGGATTGAATTCCAGAGGGGGAGAAATCGTAATTCTCATACTTTTTGCAAGTTTAGCATATAAATTTCAGAAAAAGTACCACTCCCTCGCAGATCATATGCTTTTGAGTCTCAGCAGATCCCTTGAACACTTTGGAATTGTATCGATGGATATGTACACACATAAAAGACCTATCATCCCTATTACCAACTGGAGGAAACCATACAAAACAAAATCGAAAAAATTGAGGAGAAAATAAAAGTCGGCAGATGATTACAAGCAAAATTACACGACATTCAACAGTTTTATAGCGTAAACGCCTATTTGGCTAAGTTCTGATTCTCCTTGATTGAACTCTTGTTTTTCTATAGCTATTAAATTTCAAAACTTTAATATGATCTCTTGTCGTTTTTCAATTTATTGCGTATTTCTAATTCTCTTCGCAACTTTGGGTCAAAACTCAATAGAAAATTTCTGGCATAATAAACATGACATGATAAAGTAATTCACGCAAGAAGCTAGTTTTGGTTAATAAAAAAGTATTCAACATACCTTGACTTTTTGTTTCTGATAATTCAACTATTTTATGTTCTTTTGTACATTTTCTCTGTATAAAATCTTTATAAGTTTCATAGCTTTCACCATTTTCATCGATTACATCAGGTTTTTCCTTGTTTAATGTTATGAAGACAATGCGATGCACTTTTTGAGCAAGAATTGGTCGAACGCTCTTATAAAGAAAATCACTTTCAACAAACGTATGAGAGGAGTTCGTGCTCTAATTGTACTGCTCACTGTAAGATTTTCATGAAAAACAGCAGGACAATCACTTTGTTTCACAATCATATGCTAGAGCCTTCAAGTTAGTTCAAGTTACGAAAACGAAATTTCCCAACGAATCTGTGCGCGCACCTAATTTTGGAAATGTTTTCAGGTAAAAATACGACCTCGCTCAAAAATGGCGTAACATGAAATTCTCATTCCAATAAACCACCAAAATTTATTTCTCGATAATTCTTGCATGATGTTCATAAATGGCTCTGGACAATTTATTCTAGTAGTAACTTTATTATCAGCTAACATTTGACTTAATATAATGAAAACAACTGGTGTTTTACCTTCTCTACCTCTAATTGATAAAGACTCATTTCTTTATCCTAGTTTTTAAAAGATCGGATTAAGCAGTTTGAATTAAATGATTGTTTTCTGTCTCGCACAATCACCGAGATGAATGTTCGTTCCACTATAACCTTTATCAATTAAAATATTCGTTATAATATTTTGTAATATGCTTCATATTATTTATTTATATGCTTTCTAACACGCTTTATTCAGAATGGAAGGATTGATTTCTTTCGTAATGATAAAACATTTTTTCTTGTTTGGACTAATTTTTTCTTCTGTTATTTGATGTTAAAGAAATATATTTGCTTGATCTGATCGACTTTTAACTTGAATAGCATTTCTCTGTATTTATTCTGAGAGTTTAACAGGCATTTTTTCATGTTGAAATTAATAATCAATAAAAGCTCTGTTACGATTATTTAATTAAATTTGGTTTTCAAATTAGATTTATTGTGTATGTTCGTTCGTTCCATCGTACATGGTTTGGCTGTAGGCTCATGAAAATTTTCATAATTGAGAAGACATTATAATCCAACGCACTATATCACACCCCGATATCACTGTCAATGCCCCTTGCGAATGTCTGATGCCCAAAACACAAAGCTTTCTACTAGTCCTCATCGTCTTTCTGAAAATCATCCATTTCGCCATCCAGTAGCATTGTTAAACCCCCGCAAATATATTCAACCGAAACACCAGGTAGATGTACGGCAAAAGGAAATTTCCTCTATTTTTCCATTGTTATTAGCGTTGCTGGCTATACTATTATCGCTATCGTTAATATTCTCACTCAAATCAGCACTATTTTTATTTGAAACAGTGCCTTCCACTATATCATATCTTTTAACCAAAGGTGTTGAATCTCCTAAGCCTATTAAAAAGCCTTCGGTATCTGGAAAATTATTCTCAACACTGCGGCGACTAAGTTCGCTCTGTCTTCTCTATTT